TCAATTAAAATGTTGGAAGATTTGTTCAAAATAGTGTTTCCATTAATATTTAATGTACTATAAATGTAAAGAAAGGTTACAAATAGTATACTACACGATTATAACATGAAATCAGGCCACGAAAGACTGAACATTATTTTGGGTCAATTAACGCCGTACAACAGATATTTATATATATAGCAATGCACACAGAAGCTGAGTAAAAAAGGAATTTGTTACTTTTCACTCATTTTCATGCTACGATGTCATGACATAAAAAGTTTGAATGCACTACGATTCATGCATTCCACTGTTTTTGCAGACAGTACGGTCTGAATCAACGTTTCTTTCACTTGTACACCAAACTAAATAATAAGTTCACTAAAAGTGTTATGAATTAACAGTATATTGTATAAACACTGATAATAACTACGCCGTTAAACCATCTGCATTTTCTTATTTGCCCTGACAATACATTTACAGTGTCATATCTTAGCTGTTTAGGTTGTGTTTTTACTGATTTGACATCTGTAGAGTAGAATATTTCTTTTGTGATAATAAGGCAGATTTCAGTAAACAGTATCTATTCTATATCACTATAGGTTGCACTTCCGTAAATATAAACAATGCAATTTCCCATACGAACTCCACACTTTTACTATGAAGTTTCGTAAAAAAATCATATCCTAGAACGGAAAATTGATATGCACTACTTTTTTATTCAAAGATCAATACATAGGGCTGTGCGGCATATTTCCAACATTTATATGCTCCGAACTTCTAAGAGTTTAAACTTATACTGAAATTCTTTACTACCCCTACCTTCACTATGTTCCTCAGAATTCAGTTTTCACCGCTACCATGTGTTTTTATACTGGTAACATGCCCAAGTTTTTTCTCTTTGAGATAAAACAGAGAGATCATATCTTGGAACCAGTACATAAACAAAACAAAATATCTATGAATATTATACATCTCCCCAAAAGAAGCATGGCTTGTGAAACAGGTGTATTTATGAAGTACAACCTATATAAGGGATTACGAGGGATTGAGTTTAACATTATCAACTTTCTCCAATGATAAATAATTTTTCACAAAATGTTCAGTTTCAAAGCGAATGTTGTTTATTTTTTTTTTTTAGAAATTAATTTATCTGATTTGGTTTCCAGTGAGGATTATGAACAATTTAAGGACACTTTGACAAAAAAAAGTATTATTTTGGATAATTAAACTATAATCTGTTATGTGTATAGAACAGGTTGGACATACATTCACTTGCAATTATGATACGTTTATGTAGACACATGGCAGCATTAATATTTACCTGGAGAACTTTCATAAATAGTCTCACCACTAGCTAGCCGGGCAAATACTTAAACGTCTAAGCGCTATTCATTCGGCTAGTCGGTCAAATAGTCACAACACTATTCATCCGGGTAGCCGGCCAAAAGCAACTACCTTGTTTCATTGATAGCGTAAAAATATCATGACCTCATCCAGTGTTCAGTTTGATGGTCAATAAAATTACTGAACACGTGTGTGTTAAATGAAATGCAAATTCACCTGTTTTCAGATAATATTTTTAGTATATGAATATTTTAGAAAGTTAAATTATGACATATTTAGAATGAGAACGTTGTTATTACTATTATTTGTAATTTAAACCAATGAGTATTTTTGTGATATAGCTGTCACTCGTTATATTGAATAAAATGAGTAACGGTGGTGACGGATTTCGATCAGATCGTGTAAGGGATACAATAAGTATCTCATCATTTTGAAATGATATGTCATAGTTGTTAAATCTCATAATAATGATATTATCACACAATTCTTTTATAGATCAACAAAACAACTGTGTTTTTTGTTTGGGGCGGGGACGGTGAGGTGGGGGTGGGGGGTATGTTTGGGACGGGGGCCGGGGGGGGGGGGGGGGTAGAGCGTTAGAAGTTCGCGGTATATTTTCATAATTATTTAGTGTCTTGTCATTCAAAAAAGGTTTTCGAATGACTTAGGATCGGTCTTTTCATGGATATTCATTATACAGATTAACAAGTAACTTAAAAATTATATCCGGCATTAAATTCAGCCCATTAAAGGTGTAATACCATCAAATCATAGAACAGTACACCCGGTTGCATACGAAAAAAAGTCGGAAAAATATTCCCTTGAGTTTAACAGCTGTTTATTTGGGAACTTGAGGTTACATGGTTGCTAAAGCTTAATACAGGAAAAAAGGATGAACATTTGATTGGTTAACTTCCAGTGATTGTTATTTTCTCATATGCAACGAAATGTCTTGTAAAATTTTGTCAATAGTACTGTATGGGATACAACTTAACATGTATAATATATACAAAATGTTGGCCCAGCATTTTTTCAATGTTTCACGATTAATTGGTTGTCTTGTGAACCTCAGTTAATATGTGTTTTCTGTATATTTACTTAGTACATTTTTTTTATTTTTTGTAATTTTAGTTATGTTTCACCTTAGTGGGATTTGTTTATAATTTGTGTTGTTCTGTTTGTCTACTCAAGATAATGACTAAAAAAAGTGAAATGTGTATGAATATAAATTTCAGTCATTACAGCTATCACACATTTGTATTCATAATTACTGCCCAATTATTTTATTGTAGATTGTGCATTGTTGATCGTTCTTGCTCTTTTTTTCCAAACCTATTATATATATTTTAACGTATAGGATATAAACGCTAAACTGGTAAAAAACTGTAAAAACAATAACTCCAATACCAGGTCAAATAACACTGCGGTCATACAGACACACGACACATATGTTTGCTAATCATAGTTTCTCCTTTTTTGTTTTACTTTTGAAAATACCGTTCGAAAAGTCATAGAATGGGTAATGTTTAATTTGAGAGCACAAGTAAAATAACACAAATACCGAACTCTGAGAAAAAATCAAATCGGAAAGTCCCTTATCAAACGGCAAAATCAAAAGCACAAACACTTCAAACGAATGGAAACAACAGTCATATTCCTGACATGGTGCAGGCATTTCCTTGTGTAGAAAATGGTGGATTAAACCTGGTTTTATAGCTAGCTAAACCTCTCACTTGTATGACAGTCGCATACAATTCCATTATATTGAAAACAATGTTCGAACAAATCAAACACACATAATAGGTAAAAATGTCAAAAAAGGGGTACAGCAGTCAACTGTGTCATAATCTTAATCACTATAAAACAAACAAACATGTCATTACTTCCTATAAAACGTCCATTGACGAGAAACGCTTTATTGAATACCAGTAGATCATATCCTGCTGACTATTCCTAAGGCAGTTGTTTATCTTATTTATTTTTTTTTTTATTTCAGCACAAAACAAACGTAAAAATATTAAGTGAAAATCGTCTTTCAAGAATAGAAACCCATGGTAGTTGTCAGTTGATGATATCGGTCTTGTTAGAGTATCGGAGCAATATACAATACATTATCTATAATATCCCTTCTGTTGTTAACTTGTTTTGAATTATATGACGATTTATAAATATCTGAAAACGCTTTTTACTACTATCATCAATTATTGGATTTTATCCTGAAATAAGATGTGATCAAGTGATTTTTTTAACGCTCTTTTTTCTCCTCCTTTCGACAATAAGCTCTTTTGGTTAGAGTCTGAACTAGATTTGTTCAATCTGAAAAATCAAAAATACGAACGTTTGAAATGAAATACACCAATTTTTAGAAAAAGTGTTGTCAACTTCTCAAACTCGCGTATTATTTGAATATTGTCATTATGTAATTCAGGTAGAACAAATATTGACAATCAAATGTGTACAGCCCTTGATTTATTAATCATTGCATTTTATTACATTTCAATGTAATGTAAGATGTGTAGTTACAAAGAAAGAAAAGTAGAATGACCAAAGGGAATGTAATAGAATATATGGTCGTTTTACTGGAAGGAGTAAAGGACCAGTTAGACGCAGTTTTGGTCGACAAAAATACTGTATGATTTGGAAACAGCTTATTCACAGCCAAAGAATAACAAGATGAATATTTAGAGACATTGATTATGAGAACGAAGAAGACAAACAAAATATTAATCAACTAAATCACGATTTCACTGGCATATACAAAGAACTTGTAAATCAGGATCAGTATGTTAAAATTGAGACAAATCCTTTTTTCCTGAACAATACAGTAAACAAAGGGTCAAAAGTATTAACGAACAAAACATTTTGAATACTGAATTATTTAAGGTGACAAAAAAGAGATGCTGCTATAATTAGCGAATATCTGAGTTTCAAAGTTGTTCATGAAAAACAGAAGTTGCCTACATAAGGAAAGGATCAATACGATCTTAAGAAATGTTTAAGCGGAGAAGTCCTGGTTGTTGTGAAGAGTGTTGACAATGCTTTCAAAGAGATGTTTCGTCGTCTCGATACGAAATACAGCAGAGCGGGTAAATTTGTCTATTACATATTGATTGAATTGAAAAAGCAAAGGAAAGTACAATAACGTGACAATATGAATTTCCGTTTCAATGGTAGAAACTTGTACATATGAAATAGCGTAATAACGGAACACCAAAGACAAATAAATCATAAAAGTACGAAAATGAAAATGACCTGGTTGTAGATTTTACAGGAACAATTTCAAGAGAAATAACAAGTGATGTAACGGGTTGTTGAGTCTTGCACAGGTAGAGCAGGCTATATTAATTAAACAACCGACATATCGAAACAATCAAGAAAAATTGTGTGGAACAACTAGAAATACAGAAGGACGTTTTAGGTGTTGGTATCACAAATCGGATAAACATGAAAAAGGTGACATTACTGTGTAATAACAGTTCATGAATGATAAAAGATTTGTAAGCTATTTTTCTAGTTTTACAATTGTACAATTAAAAAAATACAAAACTGTTTACATTTTCACTTATTTAACTGAATAAACAACATGTATGCATACTATAACATAGTAAAGATCTGTGTATCGAACTTTTTTATATACAGTTTGTATCTTTAATAAGTAATGAAAAAAAGTTATTCTATTCAATAAAATCATATGTATGAGTAGCTTCTAAATAATGTTCAATCCCTTTGTAACATAATTCATAGTCATCCTGCAAAACAAAAAGATAATTCATGTTATCAACATTAAATATTTACTATTCGGACACACGATCTTTTACAAACACTCTGTGAATTTGGTGGCAGAGAAGAAGACACCCAAGTGCCATTAAAAATTCATAAGTATACTGACGTGTTTCATAGTAACAAATAAATGTATGTAAAGTTGTTCCCTTCAGACGTCTTTCATAGGGATTTGTGCTAGTTAGAAAATCAAATAGCATTTGTGCAGGACTATGCATTTATGTTATAGATATCAGGAAGACAAAAACAATTCTCAAAGTTTTTTTTTCCAAAATTTTAGATGTCTTTCAATCATCATCATCAGCACATTTTTTTTTTCTTTTGGTACAAAAAGTAACCTAAAAGTTGTTAATTATGTAAAGCATAATGATCATGATAATCTAAAGTGTTAACCAGCTATGAAGCGATAACTTCATTATCTACATGTATGTCATATTGTGGTACAATAATTATTGCGATATCAATACATGTGTACCTTTAATTAACAATATCTTAATAAAGTCATTTATAATAGAGCCGATATTGTACTTTGCACTTTAAGTAAAACATATACATTAATATACAACTCACAAAATTCTTGAAGAAACTTCTGTCGTTTTTATTCACAATCTTTGCATTTTCCAGAACACTGAAGGGGCTTCCAGTTTTTATTGCATAGATAACATTCAAACAGACTGTCAATACTCCACAAACCAAAATGTCAGCCATCTTACTGTGGAAGCAAAGTTGTATAAATTACTAAATAAAATGAAGAAATATATTAAGTTAACTTTTTTATGTTTTATTATAGATATATCATGAGTTTGAAATTATCTGCTATATGTGTATATCATTCCCTTGTAGCAACGATTACATGTTTGATGAAGTTCCCAGGGAGGTATTTAAAAAATAGCTTAAACTTCTGTACTCACAAGTTAACATTATTTTACAAATTGTTACACTGCAAAAGTGATGTTTGGAGCAAAAAAAAAAAAAAACACCAATGTCACCTTACCTATTAATTATCAGAACTGGCGCACCTCTCATTTCACTTGCTTTATCGAGGATAAAACATATTCCTTTTACAAGAGGAGATTCCCAAACATTTGTTTTAAAGATTTTAATCTGGCGCGTCGACTGTGTTGTCTGCAATGTAAAATTAAACTTTTAGTACGCTTCTACGTACATATCTGGTTTCTGAATACACCAGGTATACATTTTATTAAACATGATCCATGTTATCTCAAACTCTTTTATCTCGAAATTAACTTATTAATGTTTTCAGTCCGTTGATATTTTGAGAAACTGAGAGTCACTCGTTCAGGTGTCACACCACCACTCCACTATAACATATGTTAAATTAGCCCTACTTTAAATAAAAAAAAAGTGATGTTGGTGTTTACTTTAACGTGCAAACGAAGTTACCAGAATGAAACCTTTTCTGATTGCAATATATATTTTAATCATTTTGATTCCAAATTTTCTTGTGCACGACCTTGCAATATAAGTTTAGTGTTGATTGGCTCGATAGTTTTCTATGGAAGTTGTTCAGTATCCCAACCTGCTATGTTTAGTAGTTTAGGACTTCCCTAACTTTGTGTGTCGCTACAAAACTTTAAACATTGGTCGAAAATTGGTATGAATAAAGTTAATACATGTACAATTTAGGATTTACATGGTTTCCATGAAGTTAAGAGCTATTTTGTAGCTGTTTAATGAAAGTGCTTGTATTGATATTGGTAACATCTTTTCAAATCATTAATATTAACCCAGACATTTGTTTGCACGTAGTCAACTGGAACTTGATATGGAAGCAATATATTTAAGAATACTAATAAGTAACTAAGGATGTTTTTAGTTTGAAAATTGACCTTGGTTTAAGAGTAAACGGGGATCCTTAGTCTGCATCCTGTAAGATTGAGAAATTGTAAACAGGACAGTTTTGGAATAAACAAATATTTATTAAAAAAACTACATTTCGAAAATATAAAAAAAAAGGATACTTATTTTTTGAAAATTGACCTTCGTAATAAAAGAATTCTCAGACAAATTAATTTTAGAAAACGCTGGCTTACCATTAATTTTAATGAATAGTGAAGTGTATGAACTATATTATGTTTCTATGCAAAAGCAATTTTGAAATCTGACACACCAGATTTGCTTCGTTTGAGACGTTAATTCATTTTTGCAAAGAACTTTTAAAGCTTTTAAAGTGTCAAAAGTAAAATAACAAAAATACCGAACTCCGAGGAAATTTCAAAACGGAAAGTCCGTAATCAAATGGCAAAATCAAAAGCTCAAACACATCAAACGAATGGATAACAACTGTCATATTTCTGACTCGGTACAGGCATTTTTTATGTAGAAAATGGTGGATTAAACATGATTTTAAGCATATGTTTTACTTTATTTCATTGAACACTTTATCTGAAATAAAAGATATGTAAAGTTTAAAGACCATTACAAAATGCAAACAGTGATATTGAAAAAAACCTAGAAAATCATACACATAAACATTCAAAACCCGTCTTAAGTTACGTCTGTCGAAATAGTGGTAGTCAAATATTTTCATTTAAGAAAGTTGTAAACAAATAAAGGTAAAATAACCAACTTCATCCAAAGTCCTGACATCTTCATGGATGCCTCCCATGCGACTGTCATACAAGTGAAAGGTTCAGCTAGCTATAAAACCAGGTTTAATCCACTATTTTCTAGAGAAGAAAATGCCTGTACCAAGTCAGGAATATGACAGTTGTTATCCATTCGTTTAATGTGTTTGAGTTTTTGATTTTGTCTTTTGATTACGGACTTTCCGTTTTGGATTTTCCAAGGAGTTCGGTATTTTTGTTATTTTTTCCCAGTGACTAGTTGTCAATAATCTATTATTAATAGTACATACACATGTTACGTATTCATTGCTTTGAATCGCTTGATTTGAATTATGAAGATACACTTCTGATGGTTCAGAATTTGACAACGTTCAATTGGATGGAAAAAATGTAATCGATTGAATAGTTCAATAGTATCTTTACAAAAACCAATTTCGAAATGCAAGTTATTTTTTATTGTATCTATGTTTTTAGATATACTTTTAAATCAATTTACATTTTCTATCAAATTGTATAAACATAAAACTAATGTTCTACTCTCACCTTATTCTTTTTCGTATTTGACCTAAACTCAGGAGATTCATTATCAATACAAAAAAAAACAACTACCAGATTTCGATAAAAATCATCAGATGTACGACATCCTTTCTTTTGACTCTATATGACTGCATCTGTTGTACGAATTTACATGCCTTGTATAAATGTGCAGTTATAACATTCTAAAAAAATAATTTGTTCAGATTGTCTTCATACTATTGTATGTTTTGTTATATTGTTGGTAATTTCCTTTAGACTCTAATCTTGCGAAATATTGTTACGATCATGCTATTTTGTGATATGCTATAATTGTAATCTTCGGTATTGGTTAGAAACAATCATTAAGTAATAACAAATATAGCAGATTTATAATTTAACAAATAATACACTTTAGGCTATCCATTACCTTGTTATCCAGATTGAAAGTTAACAATTTGATGTTTTTATTCTTCCTCTCGACAGAATCCAAATATATCTCAAAGTTATTTATTCTAAAAACATCATCTATCGTGGGATAAAACTCTGTCACCTTTTCATTTTCTTTTACCAGGAGAATGATAGTTTCTATACAATGATCGTCAACTATAGTCCAGAATTGTTCAGCCAAATTCTTTTGTGGTACTTCTAACAATATGGATACTTTGTTATTATAAAGCACCTGTTGACAAAAGTAAACTATAATTATTTACATTACAATTTTTCAGTACTTTACAAATTACAATTGTATTGTTAGTTTTTATACTATATCTCACATTATTTTGCAATACCAAGTAGATTCGTTAGGTTGGACATTCTTTTACTCATTATTTAGAGGCAGATGTGAACACGTTTTGTGTTATACTTAAAAGTCATATCTGTCTTTAATGTTAACAAAATGATGAATATGTAACGGAATCGATAATTTTTATTATAAAATACGTGTTCATATATTTGTATTCAGCATAAATCCTTTGTGTTATCCAAATCTTCAGGAAATGTATTGATATTCAGTTATTGTCTTTCAGTACTCGGATTCGCCGATAGCTTTTGTCGGACGCAGTGACACAAACAAGACACCTTATGTTAAAAATTCAGCCATTGCACTGCGGTAGTACGAGGGGAAAACTACAAGGAAAAAGGAAACAAACGTTGAAAGAAGATATTATATAGTACGCCGATTACGAAAGAAAAATAATAATGAAATAAATTATTTCAAAACTGTCTTGACAAAAGTTAATTGACAATAGATACGCTACAGTAACTATAAAAATCATTTAAATGTCGCTCTATCATCTCACTTATTATACAAATGTTCACCATGCCCAATATTTATGATTATATTTTGATTGTTTATCATGTTCACATATTACTGTTTTGCATCAGTAAAAAGGAAATTCATGTATCAACAACATATAGTTTTTAAAGAAAAATCTATGGATTTGACATTGGAGATTTGGTCGTTTTAATTCACATTTAAGAACATTTTTCGCCGATTATATGTGCTTTCTATACAAACGTTCACCTATTTTAAAAGATTTCAATCAGTCATATTTTAGATATTAAAAGAGATTAATGCATTATTTATTTGATTTTAAGTTTTAGTTCAACGAGCAAAAGTTGTTTACAATTTAGTTTTTAAATCTTCAACATAGCCCATTTATTGTAACATGTTGAATTTAATTAATATGTCTGTGTTCTATACACATAGAATGTTCGTGAAATGCACTATTTTATATTAATAATTTACATCATTTTAAACTCAAATATAAATAGTCAAGGTTAGGATAAATGTATTGTATGTGGTAACTTTTCGTTATAAAACAATATTGTTGCTAAGAATAATATCGTTTATACATACAAACTTATATTTAAAATACAAACATTTCTAATTTCTAACATTTTTAGGTAAATGGATCAAAGAATTGAAGAAAAAAATATATTTGTGAACGAATTGGACAAAAGTTAAATTGTAACCTACATCAAGTGTTGAACTGTTTAAGTGAAGCTGGTTTACATCTGCAAGTTTTAAATAATTGTACTTTTACACATATACAAGAATGTAAATCAAAGTTTAGCCAAAAAGCAGATAGTTTCGATTGTTTTCATTAACCAGTATTATATCCATTCCAACATAACTAGATATATCATATAAAAAAGAAGATGTAGTATGATTGCCAATGAGACAACTCTTCATGCAGGTTACTCTATTGTTTATGATCGAAATGTTCATGTTAGACGCATGGAGACAGTAAAACTGTAACAGTTTTCTATAATGGTACAAATTGCAAAATGTAGCTTAGTTTTGGAAAAATTGCTTTTATAATAATATTCAAACTTCGAAACAAAAACTTGTTTCAGCTTTACACTTTCAACATAATAATAATTCGTGCTAATAAACTCATCATAGATACCAGGTTACCAAGTAGTACATATCATTCTTATTTTGATGAATTATAGCGCACATGGAAACCAATGGTTCAAAGACAGATTTGTTGATTTTCAATGAATTTAATTAAATTTTGTTATTATGTATTCTGTGTGTATAAAATTATTTATTCTATAATCAAAACAATGATTTTCACCATTATTTACGTACCTTGTCTTAATCCAGTGTCTACGATTTCGTACTGACTAGTTAATGGCTTGAGATCATCTGTTGAATCATTCAATAACTAAAATGAGATTATCAAATTATTATCATTACTTTTCAATAATTTCAAATTCGTGAATATCCATAAAATGATATTAAGTTCGAAGAAAGCGTGTTCCGTAAAAAATTCAGTTGCTAAATATTTTTCTTATCCGACTTTCAACAGAATATTTAACATCAGTGACTATTTTTATATAATGGTATGGATTGAACACGTATTGTATATTCAGATTTTATTTTCGACATCGTTCAATTAGTATACAAATAAGGAGGTATGGTACGATTGTAAATGACAAAAATACTGATGAAAGACAGACAACTATTACTTATTTAATTTTTGCTCAAAACACATAAGAGGGTAAAAAAAATCCTAAATTAAGGGCAATAACTCCTATAAAGAGTGACAGTCTACTAACTATATCGGCAAAATTTGACTAGTTAGTAGATCTTGTCTTGCTAATCAATTTTGCTTATTTAAGTTTCTATCTATGTAATATAAACTTTATCATATAAGGCACAATGCAAAAAATGGTAAAAATCTTTTTTAAAAGACAATAACTCCAATAAAGAGTCATCGTTTTTAAGATAAAAGGCAAAAATGAAAAAAAATGTAAAATTTGTCAATCAAGGGCAATTACTCCTATAAGAAATCGTCTGATAGTTTGACGTAAATGGACAATAGGTAGAACTCAACATTCTGAACATTTCTGCCCTGTCAGATTTAGTTTATTTATAACGGTTTTCAAAATAATATACAAAACTTGCATTTTACCCTTTTGTTCTATTTTGAGCCATGTCGGCCATCTTGGTTGGCGGGCGTAATTATCGGACACATTTTTTAAACTAGATACCTTAATGATGATTGTGGCCAAATTTGGTTAAATTTGGTACAGTTGTCTTAGAGGAGAAATTTTTGTAAAGGTCAACAGACGACGATGGACGACGACGGACGACGACGATGACGGACGACGACGATGACGGACAACGGACGACGACGATGACGGACGACGGACGACGGAAGCCAAGTGATGTGAAAAGCTCACTTGGTCCTTTGGGCCAGGTGTGCTAAAAATCAGTTGAAAAAGATTTAACTCATCACATTGGTACTAAATGCAAAAACTTATAACAACTGGAAACAAACACAAAAAAACAATTTAAGTTACTGAAAGCTAGTACATGACATTGATTCATCTCGTAGACTGTAAAAACACATAAACAAATAAAGTTAATGTTAAATGTTTTTGGCTGATCTTTTGTCTTTTGTGGGACTGTTTTATATATATAATTTCCATTGCACTTCATACTCTTCCTCTGTTGTTCCAACTATTGGTGCTCAGTTTTTTCTGGTGATTTAGAACAAAAGAGTACAACGTCTGCAGCCGCACATCTAACTTAAATATGCATAGTATTGCTTCGTTACGTTCTACTAAATATTTATGTTGCCAAATAAGGAAAGAACATCATACATGTACCTTAAATTCAGCTTTTTGACTCTTTTGAAAATACTCTTTATTTCGATATCGCTTAGTCAGGTCTGATACATCATATATTTCAACTAGGTGAGCCTCATCAATATACTGTTGTTTGTAAAATAATTTAAAATGAGATGCAAATATAAATAGATGATTCAAAGTATATGTGTCTTAATAAAGGTAGAAATTTTCATATTCAAGAAAAGTATCAATGAATGTATTGTAACCATAATCAACCAGAGTTAATGACAAGAAATGACATCTAAACATTATATTCTTAATTTGTGTTTGTCTGAATAGACATTATACTTCAGTACTTTTTAACTTAAGTGCATGGACATATTTGCATATACACACAACCTACAATGCATTTTTATCGTACTAAAATATGTTATTTTTAGGTGTTTTGACATCATATTAAGTCAGGTATCTCTTATAAGGGAGGGATAAAAGCAAAACTATACTATGTCTAGTAGTACTGCAACTGAGTGATTGTTTTTTTTTGTTGTTGCTTACAACACAGAGGTAAATATTTCATGCATATTCCTGCCGAGTAGGCAAACATTAACAATCTAAAGGGGAATTATCGTGCTTGTTTTAGTCTATTTGGCTTTGATTGTAAAATTGACACTTCGAAAGAAAATACAAAATTCCTATTCAGAAAAAAATACTTTCAAATACTAATAAACTAACGGATATGCATATATACCCGGATGCAGCTAGTACTGATGTTATCTTTATATGGAGATAGACAAATATCTTAAAGACAAGTTTTCATGATTAGGCTTGATAGATACTTGTAATTGAGAAGATTTATATGTCCATTATGGTTGCATTACCTATGAACATAAAAAATACCAATAAGTGGTCTGAGATTTTTAAAATATTTGTATATTGCAATTTGGATATATATATTAAGATTCTCAATCCACGTACTCAACGTGATATTGTCTCAAGATAAAATAGGACACGTTCGGTTCCGCACAAGCACAAATCTGATGTAACGATGGTAAGAGACAAATTACAAAAATATGGAATTACATAAATATGCCAAAGCCCCAACACTATATTATAAGTACAGAATTTAAATATAATATAATGTGCAAGGTTATGTGATTTGTCGAAAGAGTAAACTAGGGACCATTCTCACTATGTATTTACTGTCAAATTGAACGCCAGGAGAGAGACGTGTGTATAAGTGTTGGGTTAGGGTTAGGATTAGACTTTCAACTCATCATCTCACAATCTATGGGTTTTTGTTGTCATAATGAACCACCTTCATTTCAAAAAAAAGGACTTGTTCACTAACTAGGTGGATTATAATATTTGGTTGTCGTTTTTGGTAAATAAAAAACCCAAACCTTATTGTAATCATGAATGATTAACAAATTCGTTGGCAGAAATAGTAGAAATCACCTTGCAGCTATAGATTTTATATAGTTAACGTCTTCTGTTTGATTGGTCTAATTATTAAGTTTGTCTGTTATAACAAATTCATTAGTTTTCATTTGAAAGTTGTTGTTTTTTCAAGTAAGAGTTTCTTGACAAATCACTTATTCCGTTGATTGATAGCGTTTGATTTTGTCAATTTTTATTGAATTCCCCCTTTTTGAATTTCCCTTGGAGTTCGGTATTTTTGTTATACTTTTCTGATAACTACCCCAAAGTTATCTGACTTATTTTTTACAAATCTGCTTTTAATCAAAATTACTTCATTTAAATAAAACTCGATAAAAATTACACGCACATTTTCTATAGCAGTAACATCTATTTCACCGCTCTGTAGATCAGTTTGGTATGTATGATTGACATGTGTTTCTCCATAGATATGAGGTTTAACTGAAAATTTAAGAACTATTCTTTATGTACATTTTCTGTACAAAAATCTGTTTTTCTGTTTTCGAAATTGAGTCATTTAATTTCCTATGGAGCTTGGCCTATTCTAGATTATTGCTTTATTTTGCGTTATTATAGTTTCTTTTTGATTGGAGATTAAGAAAAACATAGTCCAATCTCCCAAAATCCAAAGACGATTGGAAAAGTTTTGTTTACCGATAATATGATTCTAAGAAAATAGATTAACAATATTTATGAGGAATTTTTATTCTTGTCATGAGGCTAGAGACAATCATCGTGATCAGTGAGATGTAATGAAGTTGTACACTAACTAACGAATTGAAAGGTTCTCAATCCACGTACTCAGCGTGATATTTTCTCAAGATAAAATAGGACACGTTCGGTTCTGATTAAAAAAGAACCGCACAAGCAAAAATCTAATGTAACGATGGTAAGAGACAAATTACAAAATTATGGAACTACATAAATATGCCAAAGCCCCAAAACTATATTATTAGTACAGAATTTAAAAAAAAACAAATGAGACAGCCGATGTTAATCGATGTAAAGCCATGATGACTAATCAAACTGATGTGACACTATTGGTTACCAAAGTGTGTTCGCATGATATAAAATGTTTTCTGTGTCTAATTTTTATAAACTGCACACAGACGTAATCGCTGAATAAGAATATTATATATCAAAGAAAACGTAAACACATTTATTTTATATACACTAATGATAAAGTTTCTGCTTTTTGCCAAGTGATTCATTGTATGTATTTATTTTGACATAATCAATTTAACGATCCAGAAACTAACCTTTCGTCATGTCAGTTATTTCATAATCCGGCTCCTTCTTTGAGTTGAACCACCTCCTTCGGGAAAACAGAAAGATATTTATAATTCACTTATGGTTGTGGTCCGTTATCTATTTCTCAAAAGAAGAGATGTTTCACCAAATTGCCATCATTTTATGTCCTTTAGCTTCTTATGTGTTCATGTATTAATAAATATTTAGCTTTCCAATGTTTGGGTTTGGGCGTTTCTGATGAAGGTGAACCCATAAAAGCGCCGCGGACACGCAGAATTCATCTAATGTTTTTGTTCAGCGGCAGATGGCTACAAAATTGTTATCATCATTTTGATTAATTTTTATATATTTCACCTCAAGGTGGCACGATAGTATTTCGAGTCCGATAGGGATAGTGAGAGCCTTTTTTAGAATTTTCAGCATTTTTAACACTACCCGAAAGCCCACATACACAGTGAACTGAAGTACTTTCATTCAAATATTCAGAAATACATTTGAATATATGTGAATAACCGCTTACTTGTTCTGCTATTTTTATGAAACTAAGGCCAATAGTGCTTTAATGTCTCTTATCATACAGCAAATACAATATTCAAACAAATATCTAAAAACTCACTTTCACCTGTATGTAACATTATTTCATATTTTTCTTCACTTGGTCCATCCCTCAGCGTGGGAAAATATGTTCAGTAGGTACTATATGGTTTGTCCAATCACAGCGTTAAGATACATCGACTGAAGTAGGGCACAGAAAGGAGTAACCTAAATTCAGAAATGTACATACTACCGTGCCACCTTAAAGTTTCAGAGACAAAGTGAATTAAAAGATCGGATACTTTTTTAAATGTGATTTATAATAAGAGTCGATAAGAAATAATGTGGCCAAATGTGCCACCTAATCACCATAACTGAGGAAGTTATAGGATATTTCAATATAATTATATTTCTGGAAAGGGTTTGCGGATGTTTTCATTTTAATTCAACTGTATTGTCCTGTGCGTTCCCATTGTAAAGATTTTGAGGTTGTCTCTATCAGCCCTACAGTGAAGTTAAAAGACTTTTAGCCTCCGAATTACACATGTTAAAGGAGAGAGAAAAAATACAATTTGACAAATCTAAAAGGGCATAAATGTACTTTTTGTGGACACGTTTTGTCCTATCAGCAAAATGAACGCCGTTATGTATGATATTTGTGGTTAGTTTTGGTAATACCCGCCTGTTTGATCTTTTGAGAAAACGAAATGCAAAAACGACGGAATGAACTATATAGGCCATAGCCATTTCGAGGGAGGAAATGACAGGTATTCTAAACGCTACAAAATAGAAAACAAAAAGCTTCAAATGTGACACGCATGAAGACTAAATATCTTTTCATATATATAACTAAAATAAGTATCAGTATAACAATGACCAAGACACTAATGACTGTTCCAACTGTTATTGGTATATTTCCTGATTGTTGTTCTGTAAATAAAGGGATATCGGTTGTAATTCCCTTAAGCGTGGTGGTCAATAAGATTTGAAGACGTATTTTATATTATTACACAAGTACTAAGTAATTATAGAATAACAAATCGAGGAATTCAAATATAGAAAAATATTCAACGAGTGACCAAACAACACATTAATTCACGAATGCGCGTAGCGCATGAGTTAATTATCAGTGTTATTCGGTCACGAGTTGAATTTTTTCGATATTTTAATTCTTTGATTTGTTATTCTTTTTATTACACTGACAATGGGCTTTTTAATAAATTTCAAGTAGAAAATGTAAGGAACAATATCTTAGTTTTACGCTTCACCATTTGCTTTGATGCGACATTATTGACAACGTCTTGACAAAACCCATTGATGTATGACGTCAGAGATTTCATATAAGAAATTATCGGTTATTATTTCACTGGGAAATCACGGTAATTCATGACAACCAATGTAATTATGTGTATTATTATTCAACAGAAAAAAATTATTTGGCGACAAACCCGTTGATGGTTATAATACTTAAACTGATATTACAGTGTAAACCTGTTTTATTGTATACTCAAAGATGAAGTCCGTTGCTGATGATTGAAGTAACTGCGGAACTTTCCTTTTTTTTTTTATTAAAATCGAGATTAAGCTGAGATATTATGTATGTTTCTGTCTCATATCAGAAACCTCGCCAGTGGTTATAGTTTAAATCAAATCAAAATAAAAAAAGACACATGGTCTAACGCCTAATAGAAAGAAAGAAACAAGCAACCACCCTCCATCAACTTAAACTATGTAAACTGTTTAGATAATCCAGTTTGAATAATTTATTTGAAGACAATCGCAGTGGTTGAGTGTTGTTTTTTTTTCAATTTCAATTTCTCATAGTTTTGAAATTTTGTATTTTCTTTACTCTTTTAATAACACTCACTATAGAAAGTAACACACACGCGACATTATTATCTACATTATAATTCAGTGATTAA